AACTTGTATCTTGGTTGAACCACCATATTTTAGGTCTCTTTATTACAGCAGGAAACCCTGCCCTCAAAGGAATGCACTGTGATTACTCACTCACCCTCTAGTTCTAACACAGCTGAACAAGGTTGTTTTTGTCTACTCAGCACCAATTGCCCACTAAGGAAGTGCTCCTCACCCAGCCCTGAGGTTCTGCGATGTGATTAACTACACCCCACCTCAGGTTTGGGCATGTGGCCCAGGTCTGACAGGTCATGGCTCTCCATACCTGTCACGGTTATGAATTATTGGGATAGCAAGAGACCCAGCCAAGCCAACCAAAGTTCTTCCATGGACTCTCAGTATGACAAGAAAGAATCTTTGTCATCATTTTGGATTGAGGCTGCCAACAACCTTGCGACAGGAGAGAGCGAAAGCAACAGCCAAGTAGAATTAGAGCCAATCAGAGAGGAAGAAGCAGACGTGTCAGCAAGAGAAAGAATTAACAACAGCAGTTCCATCCCTGGATCCAGCTATACCTGTAGCACCTTTAGTTGGGAGTGAGCCAAGAGTTTAAGCTGAACTTCTGTCACTTGCCATGAAGAGTCCTGTCTCTTTCACTAATGCAATAAACATGTTTGAGGGCAATTGCTTACAAGCTGTGTGCTAGATGCTGGTGATCTGAAGTTCTTTCCCTTTAAAATACTAATTCTTAATCAGGATAGACTTTCGACAGTCCATCCAGGTAGAATGGATGGGGAAAAAAATTACTTCCCCTGCCTCCCCCAACAAGTAACCTCTAATTGAAATTAAGCATTTCTTTCAAGTACAGATGTAGGTGACAAAACACAGTGTCATGTTAGCCAAATGTGCCACCTATCCCAGCAGAAATCACAAATGTCTTCACATCACATCTTAAAACACCAGGCAGCCTATCGCAACTTCAAAATTACTAGTTATTAGACCTGCTGCTAGAGTATGTTATTAAATGTGTAAATAAAGCAAATAGATCACAGTTTAAAATATTTTGATATCTGATTTCAATATCATAGGGTTTTTTTCTAATCCTGTATTTTATGTTATGTATTTAAAAGCATTATACTGAAAAGAGGTCAGCAGGCTTCACCAAGCTCTAGAAACTCACTGTGAAGGCCACACCAAAAAGAAAGATACAGAGAAACAACTACAGGGGGCCTTGGTGCAGGCTGTAATTGAGAGATGTGAGAGGTGACATCACAGAAGGAGGAGATCCTCCGCTAGGCTGAGATGTGTGACTGGGGCTGGAGAAATGATGCCAGGCTGAGTAGGGTCTATAACATCTGATGGACATTTGCAAAGGTAGGGGGCACAGGGAAGCAGGGTGGCTCTGTAGCAGGCAGCACAATGGCTTTTGGGAGTCAGGAAGGCATTGTTGGTGAGGTCAATGAGGATGCCAGCTCTGATTAAGCTAGTGGTCAGCTGAGGCAGCATGCCAGCATCCCATTCTGCAATCTTGATTTCCACTTTTCCCCCTGTTCCAGGTCGGGTGGTACTCAGCCGCTTTCTCCAGTCCTGCTGTCTGGATTCCTACTCCTGAATATGACAAAGGAGGGCTTGATGAGCCATGCCCTGAGCTCAGTGACATGGAAAGTGATGGGAGGGTACGCAGGAGACTAGATTACGCACTTTCATCAAAGGGAGTTTGCACTTAGTGGTGCGACAGCCAGAATACTGCAGGCAGGCACGCAGAACAATGACAACAGTTCAGCCACTTCATTTATATGCCAGAACAAGGCTTTCAAGAAAAGAGCTGTACATCCACTGGGATCGCAGGAGGGCAGGAGCATAGGAGGGCAGTGGGGGCACATGGACACTTCCTTCTTTAGCTGAAGAAACTGCTCTGCAAATGAGCAAAGAGGTGCCCGGTGAGACCCTAACGGCAGCAGGCGATGGGCCTTTTCTGGGTGGGAGGGCAGTGAGGGGTAGAGAGGCAGTCAGAGCAGCACTGACAGCAGAGGCTTGCTCCCATGCATCCGAAGACTGCTTTGTGGTCACAGTTGAAAGACAGTTCTCCACATCTGGAAGCAATACAGGCTCCCCAGATGTTGCCTCAGCCCCCAGAGTCCATTTCTCCAGAGGCTGTCATTCCCTTTGCCTTGCAGGCCATGCACTAAACTACCTTGGTCTCTGGCTGGAGCTGGGGCCCAGGCTGCACCTTCAGCTGCAGGTGAAATGCAACAGGCCAGCTCTTCTCAAAAACATTCCTCCCTTGCTCAAATACCCTCAATGTGGATGATCTTAAAACTGCTCCCAGCCCACCACACACATGTTCCACCTCACACAGAGGAACAAAGGCCAAGAAATGGTGTCTCCTGTTGTGTCCACTCAGGGGATGGCAGAAGCTGAGTGAAGCCTGTGCCGTCTAAGCCACCACACTGAGTTTCTTTTCATATGGAATTTAAATATCACCTAGGTAGTCACTGTACTCATCTGTACATAGATGGTGTCCACGTGCCGATGGGAGATGCAGAGATACTCCCTAAATGTGATCTAAGGGTCCAAGCACTCAGCATTTCTCAAGAAGCTTGAAGACAAATTGGTTCCTATTGGTCTTTGATATGTTTCAAATTAGCACTGGGGGAATGAGGAGTGGGTGACTCAAGATCACCACCCCTTGTTTGCGGGAGGGAGGTCATTTGGCTAGTCTATGGACATGTTTAAAATGTCCCATAGTAGAATGTAGAACAGTGACAACAAGAATGAAAGACAAACTGGATCACTTTGTGTGACCCGAGCAAGGCCACAGGAAAGGAGGACCTCTTGGGTGCTGGGTGGTGGGAACTGCCATCATGTCATACAATTCTCTCCTGTCTCCTTTACACAAATGAGGAAACAGGCCCGGAGAAGTTTGGGACTGAGTGTCCTGAAGTGGGAAGCATTGGCTCCAGGCCAGGTATGCTAACTAACCTCTTCCTTGTCAGGGTTGTTTGCTCTGCAGAGGGGGTAGGGAGGAGAGCAGGACCTTGCCATATGTGCGGTTTTAAGAAAGCATGGAATGGGTCTGGCAGCTGGGAGAGGTCCCAACTGGCATCCTCCAGCTGTAGGCACCTCCAACAGGCCCTGTGGTAGTTCCAGATCCTGTCTAGACACTGACCCTAAAGGACATACTTCTCCAGGGGTGAATTGATCCTCTGGCAGGCAGATCTGCCAGAAAGGGCTCACAGTGGGCAGAAACCTACTCTCTAATCTAATTTCCACCCATCTGTCCTCCTTCTGCCCTTCCCTGCCTTACATGGTAATCTTTCTTCCAGGATAGTTTTGAAAATATTTGGATTCCACCATTCTGTGCACCACACATCCATTTTCCAGGTTGAAGTATTCGAGTGTGTCAATGGCCTCCCCCTGCCCATGGCCTGCTGGTTGCTGTCCTTAGACACCAAGCAAGAGCACTGTGTTCTAGATGTGTTCAGCAAGTAAACAATGCAGGAGAGCCTCCCACTCCCCAATCTCTGCAATACATTTATCCACAAAAGTAGATAACAGCATCCCTGTTTTTGGCATGGGATGCTGTTAAAACAACCCTGCCCTAATTCCTTTCCATCAAATTTCAATCCAAATAAGATGGGACATAAACTTCACAGGCTCCTCCAGGTGCAAGGGAGCTTGGGAAGGACACCGCCCCCCACTTCCTGTACAGTTCCCCTCACTGAATGCAGACACATGGTGCTGTGGACTCTCAGTGATTCCCCCCTGATGTGCGGCCGACTCTGGAGATGGTCACCCTCTCCTCACCTTGGGGAGGTCAGGATGGGGCTCCTAAGTTTACCTTGGAAGCATCAGAACCAAGACAAAAATAAGTATATCAGATTCCAGGACACATCCACACTCACAGGGCGGGGGCGGGGGGGCAGTGGTGAGTTCCCACCCAACCCTGTCTGCACCTTGTGCACTCACTTCACCATCTTGGTCTTCACCATCTTGGTTTTTGCTCACCCATTGTTGGTTCACTGCTCCTGAGGTCCTAACCCCAGGGAATGGTGGGAGGGTGGTGGTGCTGCCCAGCAGGGAAAGGCAGGAGGCCCCTGAAGGGAACTGAGGCTCTGGGGCCATTATTGATCATTTAGGAACGGCTGCATTTTAAAACTCTTGCTCTGGCTCTTGGCAGCCAGTGGTCATTGGGAAAGCGGCCTCCGGCTCCCACGTGTATCCTGCAGCCCACGGAGTGCTGGCCAGGCATGGTGGGCACGAACCCCAACTCCTGACTCAGGAACTGTGTCCCTTTCTCAGGTCAGTGTCCCTCAGAAGGCCTACCTACCAGACCAGCCATGGCTCCAGGCCCATCGCTTCTCTCTCCCTGTGGAGGCAAGTAGTGTTCTGAGAGCACCCAGGGCCCACAGCCGTGGGTTAGTACAAACGTGTCACCAGGGACTGCACTGGGGAGCCCTTTGCCATGAGGTTTAGAAGATGGTGAACACTTAGTAAACAGTTGGCATAGGGACACAGAGGGGCCTTGGAAAACAAGATTGGAGGAAGCACCTACTTGCCTCACCTGAGAAAATGGCAGGGGGCCTGGTTTGAAATGTTCCGGCCCAGTCAGATTTGCTTAGAAGCAACTGCACAGGTGGCCTGGAGGCCCACATGCTTTGCTCACACATTGGACAGGAGGTCCCCAGCAGAGCTGTACCAGGGCCTGGGGGACCAGAACCTTGGGGATTTGGGGGGCCTGGAAAGGGTGCAATCTGGCAGAGTTCCCAGAAGAGGCAAGTTGGTCCATTAGCAGGTGGTGAGGAGGGATAACTGGGCACTTCATCAGAATTCCTGCTGAATCCAGCAGAGCCTCAGCGTACGTGTAGGCAGCCTCTGAGGGCCTCGGAGCCAGGGAGGAGAGGATCTTAGGAAGGTGAAGAAAGGGGAGGGAAAGAGAGGGTGGGGAAAAGTATAAGAGCGAGGTGGGAAAGACCGGAGAAGCGGAGGAGGGAGGGGAGAGGAGGAAGAGAGAGAGGGGGAGGCGGGCTCGGAGGAGGGGCCTGTGCGCCATCCCGCTCACTCCCTCCTGCGCACTCCGTCCCGCGCCCGCCCCACGCCCCCCCACCCCACCGCGCCCTTGCTATCCGCAGCATCCCTGCACCGCCCCTCCACACCGCCCCTCGGCACCCGGCCTCCGCCTCCGCGTCCGCCGCCATTCCTGCGCCCGGGCTCTCCGGCTCGGCACCACTAGGACGTTCCGCATCAGGTAAGGGCGGGCGAGCAGAGGGAGCGCGCGGCCCAGGCAGGTGCGCCGGGCGGCCGGACCCTCCTTGGACCCCCAAGACTCCTCCCCTCCTGAGCTCCCTCCCGGTCTCAGCTTGCAGGTGGCTCCGCTAGGCTCGGGGGCGCGGGGTTGTGGGGCGCGTAGCAGACCCAGGCCGGGAGCGGGGTCTAGCGCGCTCAGTTTGGGCCCGCCGCGCTCTCGGCTCCCGTCCCCGCCCTGCTCCAGGCATTGCGGCCCCACTCCGGCCACTCCGCCCTGGCGGGGCCCAATGTCTTCTATTTCTGTCTCGGAGGCCGCTGCCCTAGACCCGAAGCCGAGCATTCAGACAGGTGGGGCAGGTCGGCCCCCGTGGCGAGTGCTTCAGGCCTTGTCTCCCTTTAGGGTTTTGGCTGAGTGATTCTAGAACAGCCAGGCAGAATCACCAGCCTTGGCTTGGCTGCACCTGTTGCAGCAGCCTGGTGAGCTGCGGGGAGAGGGAGTGGTGCTGAGTCCGCTGGGGGTTTGCCAGTGCAGATATGCAATGGAGAGTTGGGTCGTGGTCGTCTTGTTCACTTGTTTGATTTAGTATTGGGTGGTGGGGTGCATGGGAGTCCATAGGTGGGTAGTTCACTGAAAATGAGGCCTGTAGTTGAGGGCTGGGCCTTACTTTCTGGAGTGTGTGCCACATGAATTGGCCCAGCTTTTGTTTTGTAAACCTGCCTTTACATGGAGCACATCCCAGGCCTTCGTGGCCAGGCGGGACCTGCGGCCTGTGGCCAAGCAGCTGGCCCTCTTGTTCTGAGTCTTTTCAAATCCATTAGTTGCCACCGAGTTGAAGGTCCCAGGGGGTGAAGTGACATCGCTGGCCTGCACCTCATATCTGCCCCAGGCCCGGGGCCTGCCTGCTGGCTGCCTGGGTGCCGTTATTCGGGAGTGATTACTGTGTCCCAGAAATAGGCCAACTCAGGCTGCAGCAGCGGGGCCAGGATTCTGGAAGAGATAATGCCCCAATTGTCACTCGAACGGTTGGTGTCTGTGCAAATCGTCTGCAAGAATGAAGAAGAATAAAGCAGGCCTACTCTGAGTAGTCCGGGCACTATGTGCTACCAGGGAGAAAAACTTCAGGAATGAGGGGACACACTAGGCATTTCTGTGAACAGGAACTGTCCCCCTAGGGGGCCAAAGCCTCAGACTGATGATAAGTGTCTGTAGTATACTCCCCAGGTAAATCAAGAAATAAAAACAAATGGCTAGAACTGAGAGGCAGCTCTGCTGGGTCCCTCCTTTTTGGGGTCCCCCCCTTGCAGGGTGTTGCAGGACCTTGAGCTGGCATGGGATGGGGACTAGCTTCCATGATTGGGCTTTACCCTATGTTTGTCTGTGCCCTCTGAAATGGTACCATTGAGTTCCTCTGCTTACCCTGCTGACCAGCACACGTATCTGTTGGAAAATGGAGCCTTGCAGAGACTTCTCCTCTGGGGACTAGGGTGCTCTGGTGGCCTTGCCTGAAGTCCTGGGCTGAAGTGTGGGGTGCAGGACCATGCCTCACAGCATGTCTAGGGGAGAGAGATGAGCCCCACCATGTGAATAATCTAAGGCCAATTTCCTCTCAAGCTCCTTCTCCACGCCAGGCAGAGACGCCTGTGCTTGGGAGTGTACTCTAATGGCTGGCTCTGAGTGAGAGGAGGACAGTTCATCAGTGCCAGCACACAGCAAAATCAATAACACATTGCAAAGATCAATGGTTGTCTCTGTGCTTCTGGAAGGAATCCATCTCTCCTACACTCAGCGTAGACAAGCCCAAGCCTCCCACCCCTTCCTCTGTCCCATTTCTGGTGGTGGGGGAGAGGTGGGTGGGACTGGGATGGTAGTTGCAGAGCCTCCTTCTGACCTATGTCTTGATGTCTTGTGTGGTGAGCCTGGGGCCAGACCTCATGAGACCTCTGTCTCTCGCATGTCCCCAGTGGCACCTGGGTTAGGCGCTTGCAGCTGTACAAGTGAATTGGCTTCCTGATTGTTTCATAATTCATAGCGACTTTTCCCTTCATGCTAAAAATTTGCTTGGTTAAAAGAACTCCTGGGAAGTTGAGGTGGCAGGCAGGGATCCCCATCCCCCACCCCCTAGGCTCTTCTAGGAGCAACAGTGGTGACCTGTTACTTGTCTAAGAGTACAAAGTGGCAGGGGGTGTGGTGAGCCTGGCTGTGTAAAAATGTGCAAATGAATTTGTCATCGGCTAACTGTCGAGGGTTGTCCCTGAGGGGAAGGCTTTGGTCCTTCAAATTCTCCGCTGGTGACAACTGTTTCTCCCTTGACCTTCCACCATTCCAGAAGGTAAAGTACAAGGAAAGTGGCCAAAAAAGTGACAGAGGCATGGTGGGAGGCCCTCTCTTCCTGTTTCTGTTTGCCCTGGCTGTCTTTGGGCGAGTCTCGGGGCGTCACCAAGAGTGGGCAGGTCGGGCTGGCTCCTCTGCACTGGAGATGGCACGACTCACAGCCATGTCCAGCCTGCCTGCCGTCAGGCCCTGCCTAGAGCTAGGGTGGTGATTTTGCCACTCCAGTTAAGGTCCTCCTTGGGATCAGGAAACTGGCTGATCCCAGTTCCTTGGAGTGGGTCATTTTCCTGCTTGCCTGACCTTCCTGTATGCAGGCCTGGCCCGGCTCCCTGATGCCGCCCCTGGGCACTCCAGCAGCCCCCATGCCATGCCCCCACCTACACACCTGTGGAGCCTTTGCCTGGTGGGACAGGCTCTCTTATTTGGCTTAAAAATCTCAGATGCCTGTGAAAGCAGAGGCTGCACCCCCTCCTGGATCCCATGTTAGCAGCACCCCAGGATTGTAGGTTTTGAATGAAATGCAGTCAGATCAGCATTTCCAAGAATCACTCCTTTCAAAAATCACGGTGTTTATGGACATTTTTGGGGATGATTTTAAAGAATGATCATATTCCTTAACAGCACTGTGGTTTTGTTAAGATCATTACCTTTTAGCAAAGATAGTGGAGTATTTGCAGAGGAAATGATACTGTGTTTGGAATCTGTCCAGGCACAGGTCGTTGCTGGGTCTGGGTGAGGGTGCCTGAGAGTTCGTTAGGCTGTTCTGTCCACTACTGTGTATTTCCAAAATTCTCCATAATAAAAAGTTAATAATAATCTAAGAACCCCATTTTCCCCAAAAAACATGCATAGGATTCTTCACTTCACAAAAGAGTTCAAAGGTTTACTTTAAAAGAAGCACCAATATATTAAGTGAAAATGTCACATGTGTGTAAGTACTTATGCATAGAAACCAACCAGGAAGGTTGTACACTTTATGGAATAGATCATTATGGAGTGTCCACTGCAGACGAGTGGAACGGGCACTGCTCCACGCTCTGTGGACACAGCTCTGAGCAAAAGTATCCACTGTTAGGGATGGGTGGAGGAAAGTGCGTATGAGTGTATGCATATGTATTGGAAGAGGAAATGTGTGTGTTGGGGGAGGGGCAGGGAGTGAAGGGGTTTGAGAGGGGAAGCATATACTTACTTCTCATACATATTTCTGTTTGGTTTGTTTCTTTTACAATGGAATTATTTTTGTAATCTTAAAATTAATTTTTAAGAAGAGGTCTTCATTCGGTAACATAATATCCTATTTTAAATATTCTAAATCTCTATATCTACATATAAATTTATTTTAAATGGCTTTCAATTTGTGGAAATTATGATGTGGCTTAGCCCTGACTGGTGTGGCTTGGTCGGGCATTGTCCCGCAAAGTGAAAGATCACAGGTGTCGTTCCCAGTAGGAGTACATACCTGGGTTGTGGGTTTGATCCCTGGTTTGGGTACGTATGAGAGGCAACCAATCAGTGTTTCTCTTGCATTGATGTTTCTTTCCCGCTCTTTCTTCCTCCCTTGCCATCTCTCTCCCTAAAAAAAAAAAAAAAAAAGAGTGAGAGATATGTGGCTTAAATGAAACACTCAATGAATCAGGAGTCACTGACCTCTGAATAATGCTTGTAAGCCATGAAAACACAGACATCAATAAATACCCTGCCCTCGACAGAAGGTAGGCAAGACCCAAACTCTGAAAATTCAACAGCAGTGTATGACCCAGCAGTGGGAGAGTAAGCAGAGACTGTGCTGTCTTGGGCTGCGGGCCATAGGGTGGGAGGCCCTCACTTCAGACCCTCCAGAGCCCTAGTTCTAGAGGAGAAGCATGTTCCCCTTCAGAAGTGAAAACAAAGGTGGGTCAGAGCCTTCAAGGGTATTTCCACAGCCAGTTGGAAAGCCTGCCACTGTGGGCTGTTGCCCTCATTTTCAGAGGTTTTGTCTATTTTCTTCATAATCTCGATACAACAACAAAGAAAGTGTAAAAGTGGTAATTCCACAAAGTAAAAAGTACAAGTTGCTTGGAATTCTAGTTTTTGGGTTTTTCATTTTCCTGCCCTATTGGAAGAAATTTAGGTTGCTTTTAACACCAGAATATAATTTGCTTTGATCTAGAATTTGAGTGCTTTTTGGCTCTGCTGGGTGTATATTTTGATTTTGTTTGGAGGGACATTGTGTTCAGGGTCCTGCCCAAAATAAGGGTCTGAAGCTGGGCCCCTTTGTTCTCACCTTGTGTTTGGGAATATTCATTGTTGCTTTTGTTGAACAGTGTTTTTTGTGACTGATAGAGGACACTGCTGGGCTAACCCCTGAGCCTGGGGTCGTGTCTTTGTGGCCTTGAGCCACTTGCCATTGAGATGGGTGCAGCATACTCCCTCTTTCCCATTCACCTCTGTCATGGTTCGTGCTTCCCAGTTCTTTGAGGGGCTTTGAGGTCCTATCCAGTCAGGGAACTTGGCAGATTTGTGACCTTGGTAGGTGATATCCCATTGCTCATTTTTCTTGAGTTGAAGGACTTGGACCCTTAAGGCTCTCTCCACTCACAAATTTGTTCACTTCATGAAGTCTCACTGCTTTCCCCCATAAATGTTTACTGAGCACCAATTACAGCAAGAATCCAAGAGACAGAAGGCCT